GACAGGAAAGTTGCACTTCTATGTTTGAACTTCATGCTTCTGCCTTCACTCTATGACTGCTCGTGGGAAAAAAAATACCTTTTGGCTTTGAAATAATAATAAGCAGCTTCTGCTTATGGTCTAACATTAGGAGGGAAAAAAAAGCCTCACAGAGAAGCTAACAATTCCTCAGTAGGTATGGTAATTATTACCAACAATCCATAACACACCACAACTAGTACAGCAAAACTCCCACTCTAGCTGTATTTAACTTTCTTTTTCAGGCCAACAGAATTTTTTTCTCATATCAAAGTCTGGAGGGGGAATTACCAACAAATTCTGGCACACAGTTACATTCTTTTCAAATACAATATTATACATCATCAGATTCCTGAAACTAGAGAACTTTCCATAAAACTCAGGACACATTATTCCAAAAGGTTTGGGGGTTGGAAGGAGGGAAGAAAAACTGGTGGTATAATTAGAGTTAGTGAGAAATCAATAGGAAAAGGAAGGAGGAGTGCACTGTTGTTATATGCAGAGTATGAAAGAATATTTTTGTTGATATACAAACAGAGAAATACACGGGAGGAAATTACACTATTGAGTTATAGATGTCTGACTGTAGTACTCATTTTGACTTAACATGTATACTAAACAGGAACTAAGTTTCACTGACAAGTTGACTCAAAGGAGTTACGTGCGCAAGGCGTAAGAAACAACACCAACTGAATAATAACTAACTAAACCCAAGAGTTTAAAACAGTAATAACTGTACCATAAAGATAAGTGTAAGTTGTACAATAGGTATAGCACTTCTTCTGAAAATAGATTTAAAAATTAGAGGTAAATTTTCTCTTTGGAACATAAACCAACCATTTTTTCCTCATGATAAACACTTCTAAAGACATTTAATTTCAAGTGTACTTACCTATTATTCTAAAAATACACATATCTTCAAAGCAGTAACAAGTCTGTGTGATAAGTCATCATAGAAGAAAACAGAATGGTTTGGGTTGGATGGCACCTTCAAGATCACCTAGTTCCAACCCTCCTGCATGGGCAGGGACACCTCCCACTGGACCAGGTTGCTCCAAGCCCCATCCAACCTGGCCTTGAACACTTCCAGGGAGGGGGTAGCCACAGCTTCCCTGGACAACCCACTCCAGTGTCTCACCACCCTCACAGAATTTCTTCTTACTATCTAATCTAAATCTCCCCTTTTTCACTTTGAAAACATTCCCCCTGGTCCTATCACTATCTTGTAAAAAGTCCCTCCCCAGCTTTCCTGTAGGTCCCTTCAGGTACTGGAAGTACAAGGTCTCCCTGGCGGCTTCTCTTCTCCAGGCTGAACAATCCCAGCTCTCTCAGCCTGTCTTCACAGGAGAGGTGCTCCTATCATCTGATCATCTTTGTGGCACTCCTCTGGAATTGCTCCAACAAGTCCAGGTGTCATGAGCCAACTGCACTGAGGGCTCCAGAATTGGACACAGCACTCCAGGTAGAGTCTCATGAGAGTGGAGTAGACAAGGAAGAGTTACATCTCTTGACCTGCTGGCCATATTTCTCTTGGTACAGCTCAGGATACGGTTGGCTTTCAGGACTGCAAGGGCACATGGCTAGCTCATATGGAGCTTTTCATCCACTAACACCCCAAAGTCCTTTTCCTTAGGGTTTGTCCCAGTCCATTCTCCACTCAGCCTGTATTTGTGCTTGGGATTGCTCTGAGCCACATGCAGGATCTCACACTCGGCGTTGCTGAACTTCTTGTGGTTTGCACAGGCCCACCTCTCAAGCCTGTCAAGGTCCCTCTGGATGGCCTTCCTTTCCTCCACACCACACAGCTTTGTGTCATCAGCAAACTTGTTGAAGGTGCAAAGAGACCAGTAAAAATGAACACAGGATATATCCAATTAACCTACCTGTACTCTGTCCAGATATATTGGGACTACCTTATCAGAAGAGAGCGAAATCACAGTGTCACTAGTATTCACAAAAGATGCACCAATGATGTCAACAGGGGAAAAAATTTACTCTGTGTGCTTCAAACAGCTGCCATTCAGGGGAAAAAAAAATATTTAAAAATGCATGGAACGCATTCAAAATCTCTGTTAGTTTCCTCTTCATTTAAAGCTTCTCCCAAAATTATACTGGTCAGTATATATATAATATATACTCCCTCTGACACCTTTACTTTGAGGCTAAAGACAGATGTAAGGTCTGACATAAACCTTAAATGTTTCGTAAATGATTCATGACATATGGAAGAGAAGTGTAGGTATTGCAGAAGAGGGCTAAGCATTTGACTCAGCTCTGAAAGGCCCCAATATAATAGGACATTAAAACTGTAGAAGTTTTGAAAATAGAAGCTGATTTTAAGAATTTCTGGCATGTTTTAGCTACCCTTTTCTCATTCTCTAAGACTGAGGTACTATGAAACTAAGTTACATGACAGGAAAGTTTTTTAACCCTGACATGGTTGTAGACACTTCAGAGATACCCTTTTTGGCCGAGACTGGGCACTTTCATCCTCACAGAGCAGAAAGGTTTAACAGAAAAGACATAATAGTTTTGACAAAAAACCCCACATTAATTAGTTCAATTTTTGCATCCTTCTTCACCACCAAGGACTGGCCTCTGCTTTTTAGACACAGTGCTTTAACAATCATTTTTTGTAACTGAGTCAACAAGATTTTTGTAAAGTTCTCCAAACAATACTACTGGAACCTAAATGATATAATAATTGTTTCACAACATTTCATAATTTGCTTCTCTAAGCTATAGGCTAGAAAAAAACTATACAAAATAAAATGGAACTGAAAATGAGCCTTGACAAATTTCTGATTGGAGCCTTCCCACCACCAGTCTTGAATTACTGATGAAGTTTTTACAATCTTCAGCATACAGCACTTCATAAAAATGTATCTTGTTCTTTTGTCCATTTTCATCCACTTCCACTAACAAGTAGGTTCACCTGGGTGATCTAAAAGAGAAACAGTTGTGAGGGGCCAAATAAGACACAGTGAACATCAACACTGAAACAAGTTTAGAAGTTACAGCCTGATAGAGGATAAGATTTTGTGGTCTGTATTACGCAGGTGATTAAACTACCATAATTATGCATCCTGGGTTTAGTTATCTATGTGTTAATTATAGAATCACAGAATGGTTTGGGTTGGAATGTTTATAGAAATAAAAAATCCCAGCAGTAATACCGTAAGAAGCCTGAGATACAGTTTCTGTATGAGTAAATTCTAGAAAGATTATTATGAGAACTGTGCTAACAAGATATTAATCAATATTATTCAAAACAAAAAGGAAAAATTATCCAAAAGAAAGGACTTTCCAACAAGATGAACATTAAGGCCACAGTTCTCTACATAAATACAAAGTTTTATCCATGTGCAACACCACTGACATCACTGTTTGGAACAGTCATCTTCCTCAGTAACTAAACATGCTGTTATGAAAATCTGCAAACTGTATCAGATTTCAAAACCTGATCTGTCTTTGGATATCCTCTTTTTCTGCTGCTCAGTCTTTTTTGAGAGCATGAACAGGACATCAGGCTTTAACTTTTTTTTTTCGTCACATACTCCCCATATGAGAATAACAGAGGTTATTCTATAACTTAATGTACTGAAAATGCTTAAGTACAAAAGTAGAGATACTGTGATTCCAAACCACTTGAGCCAACCCAATTCAAAGATTGCTAGAAGCCTAAGAGAAGCATGCAATTGTTGAAGATTACATAGATGGAGACAATTCTGGATTAGGTTGAGATGCAGATCAGTAAAGAGACAGCTATGGTTCTAAGTCACTCACTTTCCATGTGACATAAGTGTTGTTGACATTTTTTCCCTCTAATACAACTTTTACACTTCATGTATATGGGATTTCTACATAACTGCCTAACTTGTTTTTGCCTGAAGACAGTAATTAAGTAAAGTACCTCTGATTATTTTTAATGGAATGGGCATGCAAAGGGGAGAAATAAGAAAGCTGTTGTAATCCCTAAAACTGCTTCTTAAAGAACACAAGTAATAACTTGAAGAGAGGCTTTTGTGGTACCAGTTTACCAATATATGATCCTACGGTGCTGTTAAAAATTGCGTGTGCTCTATTATTTGAAATTTCTTTGTTTATATTCATTGTATTTAAAATTAATGTTAAAGAAACACATACATCACTGAAATTGAATCACAAAGTGAAATATATTCATTTTGAAGAGATCATTCAGAAGATATGTGTTTGAACTGAAACTATGGACAGAAAGAAATACTTAGTTCCAATAGGTAAGTATTATTTATTACAGAAGTGAAGCACAACAAGACTTAGATACTTTCTCTCCTCAGCAGCAAATCAGGTTCACTTTGCAGTCAGCCGGAATAGATAGAAATGTTGCTTAACTGGAAGTGCCAGAAGTAATAGCAATTTCTGGCTCTTGAAAGAAAGCACTGCATTATGAAGGTTTTATTTTCAATGGCAGATGATATTCACATCAGTGATACCATGTTTTTCAACAGGTTTCATTAACAATGGTATAACCCTTAAGGTAAATATATAAGCCACAGTCAGGACACAAACCACAATTCAGCCTGGATATTCCTACATTCACCATGGTGAGCAAACTCTTGTTCCATAAACAACTATAACGAAAACATGTAAAACTTAAACTGTAAGTCTTAAAACTTGTAGTCAGTAATATCTAATGAAGTTGTAAAAAAACCTTCCTATCTTCCAGTGTCAAACGGACAAAACAATGCAGTTACACTAACATGCTTAAATGCTTCATCTGGCATATTTAACTTAGGTTTTGGTGATCCTGGTCTCACAGCAAGCTTAGACCTAACATGACAAGTGATAAACAGGCTGAATACCCTCAGCTTCAAGTAATTTCCTCTGAAGTCACATGGTTCAGTTACTTTATAAAGTTGGTAAAAAGAGACTCTCACAGACAAAAATAAACTCAAGGGTAACTATCCCATCATCTCAGTTTGCTACCTGTGCACGGGGGTTCTTTACCAAGGAGGAAGGTGGAATCGTCCTGTCTGGTCTGGATGTCCCAATCTATATTCTCTACCTGGGAGTAGGAGAGGAATTAAGTATATTTAATTAGTATAAAAGCAGGACAACAGAGGCTTATTCAGATGGTCTGCAAAAAAGAAAATAATTACATTTATGTATATTTTGAAAAAAGAAAATGCTCCTCTCCAGTTGGTATATAATTATGGCTAGTGTTTTGAGATATTGGAGGATGAAGTCCATGGTGGAATTGCTCTTCTTAAAGCTCCTGGGTCACTGTATCTTTCAAATCTAGTCTAATTAATGGGTTGGGATAGTGAATCATACAAGTCATACACTGTGGTTGACTGATCAGACCGTGTGAATTCAGGAAAATACTCTATTGAGACCTGACATAAGCAATATTAACAAACATTTTCATACTGGTTTAAGTATGGCTGTGCACAATATTACTTTAGGTATAGATTCAAAGTTATAGCTTTAGGTATAGAATAAAAAGTTGCCCTCTTTCTTTTTTCTCTTCTTTTCTAAAAAAGAGATGGAAGAAAAACAAGTCAAAGGTGGATGAAAAGAAAGAAAGCAAAACCATTTTTGTGGAGACAACATAATTTCCTTAGGCAGAATATAGTTGACCCCAAATCCAACAACTTCTAAGTGCAAGTATGAAATCGCCAAAATGCTTCACTAGTTTCTCATCTCACTGTTAATGAGTCTGGTGGTAGATGACTGATGGCTGAAATGATCATCCATTACTTCTATCTCTCTGACAGCTTTTACTCATTATGTCTTCATCTCTCCCCTGGGTCCATCATACAGAGAGTTCTGGTGTCTAACTTATCACAGGCAAAAATTCTATATCCTTACCAATATCTTTCACTATTCCTAATGTGTTAGGGTATCCTTGATTTCAGCCTTTCATGTAGCTGTTACAACATTCTCTTCCCTGTCTCATTCCCTTATCTTCAGCTTGCTTTTCAGACTGGTTTTCAAACAGTAGTATGAGAATCATTGTCAGTATCACTGAAGCTTTAAAATATATAGCTATAAAGGTCTATAAGAAAATGTATAGATAAGGTCAATTTATTTTTTTTTTTGTGATCTTTTTATGTTGATCTAGATCTAAGTGGTAATTTGTATTCTATGACAAAAAATACCTGTGTTTATCAGCTGGACTGCTGAAGAGAGTGAGATACATGATATTCCATTATGATTTCCATAGTTCTTAGTGCTCAGTTTATTTTTAGCTGTTTGGAGAATGATGTAACAATGTAATTCAAAACCAGGTATTAGTGGTCTTAACTGCTAATTAATGAAGTTCCATCTACTGAAAGACTATATGGCATGTGGTGTGGTGTTTCAGCCAAAAACCTAGAATTTGGGAAGTCATGCTACTTCAGGAAAGACTTTTATACTCAAAGCACACAGATTATGAAGTACTAAAATGAAAATTTTTATACCTCAATAACAGAAGTCCAAATTTAGTTTTAAATTAGATACCAACAATCTGTTTAACAAGCATCAGAATGGGCAGACATTCAGAATGGGACACACAAAAGTCAGGAGGCTAAACAGGAAGTCTCCTATATTAACAAACAAGGAACAAATAAGGAAAAATCTACCTCCCTGTGAGGCTTACACATCCTGCTCTGAGTTTCATGGATGCAGTCAGTTTGTGATAGAAAAGAAAATTAAAAAAAAAACCAGAAAAACCCCAAACCAACCTTCTCAAATCTCCCAAACCTACAGCTGAATTCCCTTCTCTGAAAACACAGCTAGAGAATGAGATGTTAATTACAACAGATCAGTGGTTAGTAATCACCACAAAATGAGGGATGCCTAACTTTTGTTGTGCCCGCGGGAATTCAAACCATCATCTCAGAGACATCCCAGTGCTTCTTAAGTTTATGCTTTCTGGGTGGAGGCTCTCTTTCCTCCACTGCTGAAGCTAAGCCATTGCCATGGAATTCTTAAACATTAACTGATAAGAGAGAGCAAAGCCTGCCTAATCATTAGGTACACTCCTGACACAGAAGATCTGGGTCCTGGGGTTACTGTTCCATTACTTTTTAACTTGTTTGATCCAGTGATTCATATACAATATGCCTCACCAGGAACCATAACAGTATCCCATGGGAAGATATATAAAGGATGGTATAAATAAATATCAGTAACATTCCTAGGAAGTTTTATCGTGTACACTATCATGGATCACAAAATTGCTCCTTTTTGTTGTTTTTTTCCCTCTCTTTGGTGAGACACACACATAGCAAAGACAACTACATAATGAAGCAACACAAATGCCTGCCTTAATGTAAGTAAGTTTAAGAAAAATAAACTTTGTCAAAATGAGTCATCTTCATCAAAATGAGGACACTTATAAGACTCAGCTTGACAAGTTGCTGGGCTATCTCATATAAATGAGACGAGATCAATTCCTACCTAGAAAGGCTGGACCAAACAATCCTTGAAGGTCCCTTCCAGTCTGGCATCCTGTGGTTCTCTGATTCTATCATCTTGGCAGATCAGGAGCTCTGAAACTCTGCACATCTCTTGTAAGGACAGATATATTTTCCCAATAAATCTATTTTACTTAGAGGAAATTTAACTGCACTTACAGGATGATGTTTTAAGATCATGCTGAGGGTATTAAGTAGGGCTTGTATAGAATAACCAAAGATGTTTTAATAATTATACTGTAACACACTTAGAATACAGCACAGTTGCAGTGGAACATACTTTGCAGAATACATCTACTTCCAACATCTCTGGAGCTGGGCAGAGAAGACCTGACCCCTGAACAGCAGGCTTCTTGAGATGATCACAGTAACAGTGACCAGCATACACAGGCTATAATTCAGCTTTATATTTTACATACACGATCAAACAATCTTATCTGTGAATTAAATGACAGTATCTCACTTTCAAGCATACAACAGTGGCAGCTACCACTAAAGACTTTATTGTATTTATTTATTATTTATCCTCCCATATCATATCAACAATCCTGTTTGAAAACCTCACATGGCAATACAGAAGAAATGTAGACTTTGTAGACTTAATAAAATAATTTATCTTTCTTAGACACTTCTCTAGCTTATTTTTTTATTTCTGTGTATGTGCTTTAAGTCATACTAATGAGGAAGTAAAAGGGAATTATGTCAACTCAACAGTGTTAGCTACAGTGATGCTTCACTGAAATGTCTATTCTGTTCAAGAAGTGAGATTGGTGAATGACTTCAATGCCAAGACAGGACTTGCATTTGTATTACTTAGGCTATGATTTGGAAGCTGAGACTATGATCTAGAAAACCACTTAATGTTTAACTTTATTCATATACTTAAGTGTTTTGCTGAAGCATGAACTAAGATCTGCAGCTAAAGACTTCAGACAGACATTTCTGGGCAGCCGTGCCAATCAGTTGTAGAGCTATTAGAATTTTAAACTCAGTTCAGCAACAGATTAAGCCTGAAAAGTTTAAATACCACATGAGGGCTTTTCTACCCAGAACACTTGGTGAAAAAGATGACTCCACATTGTAATGCTACACTCACCTCACAGATTTAGGTTTTGGCAATGGCAGGACACAACTGTAACTGCTACAACTTTTGTTGCTGGCTGCTGTAGTCACAGAGCAACTGCATACATACAAACACAAACTGCATATAGACATAGTGCTGTTATACTGTTGACGGAGACAATTTGGAACACACATGAGAACACTTTTTACCTTGTGGTTGAGGATTTCTTCTTATGAACCCCCCCATCTGGTTATAATATGAAGGAACAAAAGAACTTCCATGTGCTCCTTGGAACCTGGGATCAAATTCTCTTTGCTGTGTTCCTGAAAAACAGTATTTAGTAAGCAACTCTGACTTTATATAAGATTAAATGAAGAAAAAGAGAGACAGCATATTCTTTTTCAGAAAACATTTATTAGTTTTATGCCTAAATATTTGTTCACAATTATTATTTTTCCAAACTAAAGTCAGTCTAATAAGAATAGTTCTTGTTCTCCTTTCCATCTGTGTCCATCATGATTACAAAGCTGTTAACAAGTGTATTTAGAAACCAGACCAACATTTTATGATACAGATTTGGAGACTGTAGTCATTAAAACAAAATTGGAATCTCTGTCCAAACTGGAATCACAAATCATAATTAAAATGGCTAAGCACAGCTCTCAAGCAATAGCAGATGCTAACAAGGTCTGGTATCATAAACATATCACCAACACATACCCTTAGTTTCTAATGTCCAGCACCAGTACTGCTGTCACATACTGCAAAGTACTGAACTAGCAGAATATCAGTCTGTCTGATGTAATTTGCTCAAGAAATTTGGAAGGGGCAATTTTTATCCTCACAGATATTGTAACCAATCAGGTATTAAGAAGGTAATAAATACAGTACCAGCATAAACACTGAGATTCAGTGTGAATGATTTCAAAACCTCAAAAGTTTCAACATTCAGGCTGATCCATGAAGGATGCTGAAAAACTTTTAGATTTTTTTCCCTGAAAGTCACACACATCAGGCAGGGAAAACAAACGTCATTAGTAAAGTGAGTCATAAAGTTGGGGGAAAAAAGTGTAAGGTCTTTGGCGAAAAAAAGTGCCCTTCTCCAGGCTGCCCCAAAGCTTTCTTATATTTTGAACTATATCAGTCAGTCCAATAAGGAGCATTCTCTCTCTGATGCCTCACTCAGACCTTCAACTATCAACACTAAAACAGCTCCCCTGAGGAAAACTAAGAAAAAACTCTTGAGTCATCTAATTCCTCCTATAAAAATAACTTTAGTCACTGAGTGACTGAAGTCACTATTTAGCAATGATGTTTCTGTAAGAGAATATTTCATTCACTGCATATATTCCACCAACTACATAGCTAGATTCCATTATTATTTTATCCATACTTGGGTTACCAAATCCACACGAATGCCTAAAACCAGGAAATATTTTCTTAGATGTCTCCTTCGTTTTCTTGGAGAAAGATCTTATTCTTAATTAGCTTAATGGGCTGCCTATGTAAATGTTGCTGCCGATGAAAGATTATTGAGGTCATTGACTTTATTGAGAAAATTAACACAATACCAACCTGTAATAAATCCATTCCCTCTTGGTCTGCTCTGTATTTTTCTGTTCTTAGCCATGCAAGCCTTGCAAATTAAAGACTTCAGATTTTGGAAGGGTGCATACAAAGAGTCCTGCAGACAAAAGGGTTAAAAATCAATTACTGTTCTGCTTGTCTCTCTTCAGGTGCAGCAGAAATCAATCTCATATACAACAACTAAAAGACTTGTCTTAGCCACTCTCATACATGTATGAAGGTGTTAGACCTGGATTGCCTTTTTTCAGGAAACAAAGTTTAAACATTTCGTATGATTTTATGATTAAAAGTGGATTATTGGAAGGACAAGTAAGGGTGCAGAAGGAATGTTTTCCCCGTTCTCAGTGAAGTTCATTTTTCTTCTCTGCTCACATCTGTAAATCACTTGGTTTCCTATGCTATTACCTTGCACCTGTAGATGTACTTAACTAGACTTCTATCAGCAATACTTCAGGCAGAGATGGTTAAAGGCCCAGACAGGGACGGATGAAGTCATGGAAAACACACCAGTGACAGTCAAAGTGTCTTAATCTCATGTATTGGAAGCAAAAGCTAACACAATATTAAAAAATATCCCCAACTCCTGACTGAGAAAATACAACAAAGTCTAAAGAGAAATGGGGGAATTAAATAAAAATATTTACCTTGTGGTGTTACAGAAAAGTCTACTGTCAGAAGGACAAGCTGAAGCTATTTAAAGATGCAATACTGAGAGATGTGATATATCTTTAAGTTTCATTGATTTCAGTGAGCTTCAAAGAAGCATCAGATCTTACAATCTTATCCTTTTTTATTGATTTGTACTGGACATATGGGCAGTAATAAACATTGAAAAGAATCATGAAAAGACAGACTTAGAGCAACAGCATCATTTGTGATTTTCATAAAACTGAACTAATTGTTACAGGATGACAATTCGGTTTTGTAACCACCAAAGCAGATGGAGAACAGGAGAGAGGAAACAGGATTGCAGGACAAAGTAAAAGATGCAATGGGCAAGACTGTAGCAACTAGAGAGGTTTCTCAAGTTAGAGGTTGAGTCTGAACCCCTGGACCTTCCCATTTACTTTCCTAGCACATTTTTTGAGTTACCAAACCTCTTTATAGAGCCTTAAGCAAAACTCACAGATTTTTATTTTTTATCTTTTTTTCACACAAACTGACCACAGTCTGTGAAGAATACCCACGAATGGGAAAAACCTTTCATTGTATTCTTGGGAGAACAAATTCAGAATGTGTCTATGAAGGTTGGATCAAAGGACTTGACAAAAAAGGGCAAAACATATCACTTATGCTGACCGCGTTAGCTAATTTGGTTTTAATCTAAAAAAATTGATTGTGAACACACTCATTAGTGAGAAGTACAATAAAAAGGCTAATAGAGTGATAATATCATTGCCTCACTGCTTTATGAGACTATTATATCCAATTTTCTGTGTGGATAAACAAACTAATATGATTACTGTTATGAAAACCAGAGAACTAGCATAATACAAGCTTGGCATATTTTTGAAAAAAAAGCAATATGGTTCTGTTTTTGATTCTTATCAGAAGCTTTCCATTTTTTATCTTTAACAGCTGCTAGGGCTGCAAAGAACTGAGCTACATAAAAATTAGCCTACAAATATATCAACTGCATTTAATTTATAATTTTTCTCCTTGTACAAGAATCTGTGGGAAGCAAACCCTATAATACTGACAATTTTTTGTATATATGTAAATATTTAACCAAGATTGTAATTATACTGTGATTTTCATAAAGCTATTAACTGTATTTAAGCCCATCATAATAATAAAAAAATATTGATTCCAAGATCTCCTGGATCTCCTGAACATCTTGATGTAATTTAACTGTCCAGATCATAAAGAAGGGATGTTAGGAGACAAGGAGCAAACACCAAAAAGAGTAGTTTTATCCTGTTACTTACCTTTTCTATAACAAAACACCCCATGTAGAGTAACTTTTTTCTGAATACAGTGCTGTTGCCATCATCAGATTGGATTTATGCTGCTCAAGGGTAGATTGTTAACAACCAAGTGCTGAAAGATCTTGGCTTCCAGCGATACATTAAACTCTGCCAGGAACTAAGTACCAGTTTTATTTATTAAAGTTGAACTTATAATAACAGGAAAAATTAATCACATATGCTTGTTACCTTGCCAGTGTCCCCAGCTAAACTGGCATCTCTTGGCAGTTCTCCCAAATACAGATTCTTGCCTCAAACTGATAAACTGGAAAGCTATTTTATTAGTCTGGGAGCTATCTCTGCCATATATGTACTACAAAATTGTACCTAAAAAAGAAAAAGATATTTAAACTACTCTAAAAATTCACAGGGCTAAATTATTTTTCCCCATGACAGAACAGTTTATCTGGTGTTTGCTTAAACTAGAGTATCAGGCTTTTAAAAACCTTACCCTAGATATTGCAGTTGATCAAGCAAATTTCCAACTCTGTTCTAAGGATATAAGCATCTTCCTTCATCCTCCTACTAAGACAGGTTAAAATATAACTTTAACCTGACCACATCAAGGTTTTAAAATGTTAACTACAACATACTACTTAGCACATTTAAAAATACCTCTCATTCACTACAAATTTTGTACAGATTTAAATACATATTGTAGAAGTTATTCACTCAAACTTGAATTCTACCCAAATGGAAAAGAAGTATCAATTTCACATGAACCCATTTTCCTATTTATTCTTTAGACCCTCTATTATTTTGCAAAAGTCCAACATGGAAAACTGGATGAACCAGTGACCCAATCCAAATTCTAGGGAAATCAATGGACCAATTCATGGGAACCACAGGATTTGGGTAAAGGCTAAAGTCCTAATCAAATTACTGATTTCATATGGAAAGGATTATTCTCCTCCTCCATGCTGAAAACACATATATTCCACCCCCCCACCCATGTTCCACTCATCATTCCAGATCAGGATGCTGTGTCATTGGACGCAAAATTAGAAAAGGAAACTAATTATACAACATCTGAATGCATGAGATTAAAATAATTCAAAACCAAATCCTTTTTTTCTCTGTAATCACTGTTTTAGCCTCAAGTGATATATGCAACAGCAGGTGAAAACATTTAAAAAGTTAAAATTTTGAAAGTGATTTAATGATACCGGATTTTCACGTCCACACAGAAAAAAGACACATTAGACAAAGTTTGCAAGAGCCATCTACAGAGATGGCTACAGATCTACCTAAGTACCTTTCCACATATTCTGTGCTGGTGGTGCACGAGCCAGGTGTGGTCCAAGGCTTCACTAGTGCATTCCCACAGCCTGGCAGGCAGATCCCACTTCTGCGCCTGGAGATGATGACACCCTAAGGCACCCAATAAGGCCCGTGTCCAGCAAGACTGTTGGTATCTCTCTGACATATTTTAAGTCACACCGGGTTGTTTTTTCTGTAACATACCATGCAAATGGTACAAATCTCCAGCTTCTGAAGTGTGATTGAGAACTAAATAAGTACTTAGAAGTACAGGAAGGCACTTGGTGAGATTCTAAAAAAATACCTAGATATTATACCTTCCTCTGATTTCCAGTTCCTCTTCGAATTCACCAAAAGTTTGTCTCAAGCTTTAGGTTCCTTAATATCTTAAAAAATGTCCCTCTTAAACACTTCAAATATTCTACCCAGTATGCTTAAAGACATTCTTAATATGTCGCCTAAAATCTTGGGGGAAAAAAAATCTCATTAATATCTTAGTACTAGAAAATCATTACAGGCATTTTCATTTTTTCAAACTGAAAACCGTTTCAACACTTCTTTATATTATTTTCTGAATATTGGAAACAAAACTAGAAGTAAAATTATAGCTTCCTTTATAGCCTCAGTATTAGTTTTCTTCTGTCTGAGTGGATGAAAAAGAAATACGGAAGAGAGGAAAACTACAAAGGAAGGGGACCAGTGTAAATATTAACATTAAAACAAGAATCATACACGGACAGGTATATTTGTCAAAGAATACAGAACTGTCTAAGAGGATGTGATTACTTACATTGCCTTCCAAAAGCTCTTCCAAAGAGCAACCTTGGTGTGACCGCTGGTATTTTTGCTGAAAAAGTTTTCCATCAAACACTTCCCATGGCATCAAATCATCCATTCTGAAGGGAAAACCACAGGCACTATTGGCCATGAGCAGAGTTGTAAGGCCACGAAGAATGACAGCACCAAGATGCACAGCTCTGGAGTCCACTTCTGCAAGCTGTTAACACACATGCACACAAAAAGATAGGCCTCACAAATCGGGAAATACAAGCAATCTAGCAATCTTACTATCACATGTAACCATGTGAACAGCAGAGCAAATGATTCAGTCCCAAAGCTGTGACAATGATGGTCTTCTATTGCACAGTAGAATTCACCAATGGATTCTGTATCAAATTTTATTCAATAAAGTGGAAGAAGTGAACTTTGTTTTAAGAAATACAGCAACTCACTCAAGTTTTTAAGACAGATACATTCAAAACTAAAACAGAAAGACAAAATTAATGGCTATTCTCTGTAGTATTTCTTAAGCATTAGCAGTTCTCCAGTAACAAAGCAAAACATGAACTGGGAGTATAAAATGATGCGTACAGTGATCCATTGACCTCCCACAGTTTGATCAACTGGGAAATGCTACAGCACTTAGAGATCATTTAAATTATAAGATTTGACAGAACAAAGTTTATTGTGCCCAGGCTTTTATTTTAAACACTTCAAAATTTCTCTGACTGTAGCCTGAAAGTTAAATAATTTAACTCCAACGTGGATGTCTCCAGAAGAAATACTGGAATGGTATGACAACATCCAGAAAATGCAAAATGAGAAACTCAACAAGACAATTAAAACTCTGAGCCAAAATAAACTTGATGGGTGAATTTAACATCTTGCTGTGGCAGAGCACAGCAAACTACAAAAGCCTTGAATTCAATATAGGGAAAATTGTGATTTTAAGTATTGTGTAAACAGTTCAAAGCTCGTCAGTGAGGAATGCCTTTTCCACAGTCTGTATCAAAGCAGTCTGTCAGTACTTAGGAGGGATTCGTAACAGTGTGGCCATGAACACTGTGGCAGCTGCTGTATCCCTACAGTCCAGTTTTCCTTACAGTGTAAGTTATACTGGGAATGGAATAGCATCCAGAACAGTCCAGAAGAAAAGGAACAAAAATGTGGCTCAAATTTGTCTTAGCCCTGGCTCCTGAAAAGCTGTGAATTGTTTGACTGAAACACAAGGGAAAGGGTTGGCCCATTAGTACTAACAATAACAACTTCTTACACCTTGAAAGATCCCCAAGAGGTTTAAGGTATGCACATATACCAGCAGTGCCCTACTTTAAAAAAAATTACATGTAATAGCAGGAAATGTGAAATGCTCTACTAAAGGATCAGAGCTTTTTCCTCCTTAAGGTCCACAAAGCAAATTCAGGAAAGCTTTGCTAGCAGCATGAAGCTTTGTAAGCTTCTTCCAAAAGACACAAACACAATAAATCATTTGGAGAATTTAGCTAGAACCTGATCATGGACTTACATTTTGTGTATGTATATTATGCAATGAACTGAAGTCTGTTGCATAATGACTTTGTAAAACTGGCTTCCATGATAGGGTTTGCATTAATAACAGGCAAGAGGCAGTAGGGTTCTCCTAGCCTACATGAAGATATGAAGTGTACTTCCACTGGCTGCTTTTTCTACAGTGCAAAAGCAAGAGGACCTAGAGATGATAAGTCAGGCAAAAGATACCAGGCAGGATGGTCCTGAGCCCTCTGGGAAGAATTTATTATGCCTCTAGTGATTCCTGGAAAGACATCAAGCTGACCACCAGGGCACTGACCCAACATGACAATACTTGAAATTCACCCAATACAGACAACTGAAGTAAACCACTGACATACAGAGAAATGCAGACAACACAAGCTAATTTGAGCAGTCATTTAGAAAATGAAAGGCCTGTCCTTTTCTGACAGTGGCACTTCATACTCCATTAAGCAAGACCTTCTTCTCTCCTCCCTTTAAAACAAAAGTATTTTCAGCATGGGGCAATGCTATTGATTTTCAGGAAGCTATTGCCTCCAGATGTAAGCTATCAAAGAACACGGAGCTCTTGGGGAAAGTCCAGAGGAGGGACACAAAGATGATCAGAGGGATAGAACACCTCCTCTATGAAGACAGGCTGAGAGAGTTGGAGCTGTTCAGCCTGGAGAAGAGAAGGGTCTGGGAAGACCTTATAGTGGCCTTCCAGTAACTGAAGGGGCCTACAGGAAAGCTGGGGAGGGGCTTTTTATAAAGGCATTGAACATGAGGACAACGGGTGCTGGTTTTAAACTGGAAGAGAGTAGACTCAGATTAGATATTAGGAAGAATTTTTTTTACTGTGAGGGTGGTGAGACACTGGCACAGGCTGCCCAGAGAAGCTGTGGCTGCATCCTCCTTGAAAGTGTTCAAGCCAGGTTGGATGGGGCTCGGAGCAACCTTGGCTTGCGGGAGGCACTCAGTACCTCAAGCCTTTGTCTCACCTTTGATAGCAATTTTTTCCCCCTGCATCCAATAAAAGGTGGACATTCTCCTTGACTATCTTTGTGTTGTTACTGTATTTGTAAACCCCTTTTTTTGTTATTTTTCACAGCAGTGGCCAGGTTGAGTTCTAGCTGTACTTTTGCCTTTCTGATGTTTTCTCTGCATGACCTAGCTAGATCCCTGTATTCTTTTTGAGTTGCCTGCTCATTTTTCCAAAGGTGGTAGACTTTCCTTTTTATCCTGAGCCCCTGCAAGAGCTCCCTGTTCAGCCAGGTGAAAATTCTGAAAATACTAAAAATACTGTTTCAGTGACTCACTGCTGTTCTTTAAGGTCCCTTCAATTCACTGTCTGATTCTATGATTTTGCCAGCTAAGGCTAGTAACTACGTGCACACACATAACACTCCTGCTCTGGCAAGTATGGCAGGTTTTTGCAAACCATTTAACAATGCTGAAAGGTACTTGAAAGAAGAACGCGGTTAAAGCGAACCAGCATTATTTGTACTAAAGCAGCGAGTCAGAGTGCATGCAGCCAGTTATCACATTGCAGCTGAGAGATTCTTGCATTGCACTAACCAGATTATTTCTGATCACCTGATCAGATCTTAAGACCTGTTAAGGAAATGAGCCCACATCATCATAAGCTTTAAAATGGAATCTGCTTGGTTTGTGATCACAAAGTAAGAGCTTTTACTTGAGATGCTTTTACTGTCCATTTTAATCCCATTCATACCAAGGATGTAAAAAGCTTTTAGAACAGATTACTAACACTATATGTGGATGCTAGATGCCATCTGGGCCATAAATCTTAAAATAAAGCTTTTATATCTTAATTTTATTCTGAAAACTCTAAGCATATACCCCATACAAATATATGATTAACCCAACTTACTTTGTATTTGCAAAACAAGAATCTAAATGAGAATTTGAAAAAAATTGCTTTATGGTGATCCACAAAATAGCAAAATATAGAGGAGGACTGTGTGCTGTATCATGCTAGAGATCAGTGTACTCCTCTCATCGGTGCTAATTGTTACTTTTGCTTAAGTAACTATGAAGACTGAGCCACCAATACCACCCTAGTTGTGCTATTCTCAACTACAGTTAAGACATACAGACTAAAAAGATAAAATAACGTTGCTGGTGACAGGTTTTACACACCTCAGGGAAATCAATCCAGAACTTTCCTGAGCAGTGAAGTATTGGGCAGGGGGGTGGACATCAGGTAAGGCTCATTTTTCTAACAGAAATCAAAATTGGTAAGTCCAAGGCAAGAACTATCTACAGTGATTTCTTTATTTTAATAAAACAGGAAATACATTCATTAAAGGGTAGTTTCTATTTTCCATGCCTGGCAATGAAAAACAAAGAAAATGAAAGCTCAGTGAGTCTCTAACAATGAGCCTGCGCACATGGCAAACCACAGACTTGCTTTGCCATGGGAATGGTCACAACTGCTTGGTGTCTGCAATGCAAAGACGTCACAATGAGGAGAAGTGGAAAATTCCAAAAGAAAAGAAGGCTTGCCTTCCAGGGCATTACACCCTAGAGATTAGTTCTTATTGGAAATTGTGCCTGTTCTTTTTACTATTTTTATAAACTCAGGACCCCAGTGAATCATGTGAGACACACCCCTGTGATCCTGCTGCTGCTGCTCCTACCACCAGCTGATGACATTTGTGTGAGAGAGACAGGGAGGGCATGAGAACGGCTGCTCCTGCACCAGCTGCCTGCGCTGTGCCCCTGCTGCTGCTCCTACCAACAACAGCTCCCCACCCTCTCAGTGTCTGGGGAAAATTATTACTTTTCCTATTTGCCAATATTAACTGAAGACTGAGAATAGAACTTGAAGTTCACAGTCCTCTCGTATCATTGCAGCAGAGGTTACTGATATTGTGCTTAGAAGGCCTGAGCTGAGTAAACCCACTTGAAAAGAGCGAGAGAAGTGTTACAGCACCCACGACTTTTTTTATCTAACAAGTTCAGAAATACCTTCGCTAGAAGAGCCATCATCATAGACTTATGTCATATAATGCTTTTTTCTGCTCTAGAAGAAAAGCTTTAGCCTGTGGACCACAAGTTCTGGCTATCTCTGTGCTTGTGTGCATCCTCACTGATCATAGACTTTGCAAGAACAAAAGTTTTGCTTGTAGGAGCAGTTTGAAAATCTTGACTTAGAGAC